TGTTATAAAGTTACACTCCTCATGGCATCGATTTCTCATCAATAACACGCAGTGCATAAAATCCAAAGCCAAGAATTGATGGTGCACCCAGCGTGACTCTGGCTTCTGAGGGCTTTGTAAATGCCACAGGAAAAAGGACGTGCTGGTTGGAGCTCAACACAATCTGCTGAGAAATCTTTGTAGTTTAATTGTTAGAATTAAAAACAGGTCCTGCAAGATCTTTTTAAATGATCTTTCCTAAAAATAAGCTTTAAATTTATCTTTAGATCCTTCAAAGTCTCCTTTCCTCTCACCTGCTACAAGGGTGGCCAGTATTTATCTCAACACAACGCTTTTTAAAAAACATTCATCTCTTCCCTCATTGCTAATCTGTTGCCAAGGAAACATGGAGTCAGAGCGGATGATCTGAGGGTATTGAGTAAGTATAATCTATATGATGTATTGTTCTATCTGTGATGGTCAATGGGAATTGTCCGTGACCTTTTTGGTAATCACTGCACACTTAATGCTCGATCCATCCCTCCTTAAAGATGGCAAAGACAGCGGCTCAGATTTTGTAGTTTAATAGAGATTTGTGCTAGCAAAGGAAAACCGAGCAGACATCATATCAGCACCAAGAGGAGAAATCATCCCATTACTTTGAAAATATGTAAGCAGCCACAAAAACAGGCATAATTCCAAGAAAGGAAATCAAAGAACTTTGCACTTACAAATACATTTCCTGTTTTGTTCTATAAACATCTGGGTTAAAGATAAGAGATTACAGCTAAGCAAGCATTTAAATAGCAACAGCAATAGACTGTTGCTGATTTTCATTTGGCTGTTTTGTAAAAACTAAACATCTCTCTCTAAGAAAGTAGATCTTTTTTAGGATGAAATATCTGAATATCGAAGTTTAACAAAACTTTTTTCTAAAAACAAAGATGAAGAGTATAATATTACAAAAAAACAACAACAAAGAACTTCAGCTGCAAGTCTTCCAAATCTGGAGCAAGAGCAAAGGGGTGTTAGAAAACATCTCTGGTGGCTGTGGCACACTTTATCGTATTTACAAAAAATGGCTCATAGTTGCTTTTCACCGGAGAGATACTAAAAGGAATACCTAAAAATGCAGGCAATGGAAAATATCTGAAGATAAATGGATGTTAAAAAAGAAAACCATACAAAAAATAGCAATCTAAAAAAAAAAAAAAAGGATGAACAAAGATAGGAGAACAGGAAAGTAGAAAAATGTATAAAATAGATTCAAGGATACAAAGTAATGCATGTGTGGAATGCTTTATGCTTAAGTCCCTGTGGTGCAATATGCACATTTTTGTTGAAGAAAGTTTTAGCTGAGGTATAGTAGATGCCGATTAACATAAAAGAGGCAGGTTCCACTAAAACTGAGAGTAATAAAATAAAATAATCATTATACATGGAAATGGGAGCTAGGCACAATTATTCATAACACATTATTTAGAGTCATTGGTCTGCCAATCAATTTCAAATATAGTTAATGGTTAAAGGGTTCATTTCCTATCACCAAGCTTAGTTTTATTTCTATTGTTAAAAAAACACAAAATACTGCATCAATAGAGAGTATTCATCTTCCGACATGTAGCTGAGACAAAAGGGTCAAAATAAGAAACACCAAGATTAAGTTAAAAGATTAAGCAGCAGCCGTAATAATAATGTTCATAAATCCTGATAAGCCTTATTCACCAAGAGAAACAAAAGTCCTGACAGCTACTGTGGAAAATTGCCAAGAAAACACAGGCTTGCAAAGAGAGATGGACAGAAAAAGTAGTGCATTTATAAGAAAACCAAGAGAGCTCAGGTGCTATTCTTTGACCAGGTTATTTAGCTATTGTGTGGAGGTGACAGCTCTGATGGAAAAAAATGACAGGAGACTTAAAAGAGAGGCGAGAGAAAGGAGTCGGGCCTAAATGAAAGGACTGTATATATATATATATATATATATATATATATATATATATATATATATACTGTGACAGACATTTATGCAATCCATTAAACATGAAGCCAGCATCAGAATCAGAAACAGATAAAAAAGAAAAGAGACATGGATACATTATATATAAAATTATATAATACTGTGACAATGAAAGAGGTCTGTAATTTGCTTACTTTAAGCTTGAGTTAAGAAGAACTAACTATTTTATTTAAAGCTATTATTTTTGTTTTGCATGTTTACAGTATAAGCCTGTCTTTGCATATCAGGAGATCTACACTGTTAAGGTGTTATCAGTACAGCCTTTCTTGGTGTGGGCCCACACACATACCCAATGACTCCAGCTTGGTTTTATAGCTGAAATATTGAGAAACAGAGGAACTGCTCATAGGTTTCCATCCTGATCACTGAAAGATCTCCTATGGTTTATTGTTAAAGGATTTGGGTCTTTGTTTTCCCTGTGTTAAGAAAAAAAAAACACCTGAGTACGTTTGAACTGATTTGGACCAAAAGCAAATATATAGCAATATTTCAAATATTTCTAAACTAAAAGATGAGGAATATTCAGGTGGTTTTGTTGTAGTATAATTACTCCTTACAGGCAATTTCTATTCCCCTTTTATTATATATCAGTTGAAGAATAAATCAATTCAGACCCATCAGCATCCCTTCTTCAAGGGATGATGGCAGGAAAAACATAATCTATAAAGATGTTTGAGTAAAAACAGAATAAAAGTTCAAATGATAAGAAAAAAGAGAAACAAAACATATCCAGTTAATGATAAAAATAATAATAAAAATTTTACATGTAAATGATACAGTTTAAAAATGATTAAAAAAAAATTAATGTACCGCAATGCATGTCCAATAAAAAAGGTAAAGAAAGAAATTTTATCCTTAATTGCCATTCTAAGAAGACTTAAAAATACAAAATATAAAGAGTGCATTTCATTTTCATGCCAATAAAACTCCCCAGTTGTTGCTTGTTGTCTTTATAAGCAGAAATATTGTGTCTGTATGTCAGAAGCGGGTAACTTGTATTTCACAAAAACTGTAGCATGTTTTGTTTAGCTCCATCTAATTTAGAATAACTGTACTACTTAGTTATTCATGTTGTTATGCTAGATTCATTAAACTAGGACTCTAAAAATATATCGCAGTCAATAGGATTAATGACAGAAATATTCCACAGAGGAAAAAAAACACATTACTCAAAAAACCAAAAAACAAAAACATTGTTGTATAAAAATGAAACAGCAAAGGTGCAGCTTAACTGAGGAAAATGTAAGACATTTAAAGTTTTAGCTTTACAGTATTTTAAGTAATTCTATTTTTTTCAAACTATATTAAACTGAGGAATGAGCAATCAGATAAAAAAATATTCATCAGTTCATATATTCTTTAGGAGGGGAGGCGATATCTTACAATAAAAGAGAATTTGCTGTAAAACATTGTTTTTACTATTTAAAAAGGACAAAATGAATAAAAACTCATATTTGAACATCTAATGCTCATGGTAAGCTTGATTTTCTAGATACAGCCACCTATGGAGCTAGTTTACTCTTACCTTTTCTAACATAGAAAGTATAATGAATCAGTGCTTCTTCGTTCTCTTTGTGTCTCTGCTTCTGTCTCCTTGGGGCCAGTCAACCTCAGCAGAAGGCTTTTCATACTGAGCCTGGTTCTGCTGGAGGTTCCTTCCTGTTAAACTTGAGCTTTTCCTCCCCACTGTTGTTGCATACATGCTGTGTGAAAAGATTGCTGCAGAATCAACAACACAATGCAAGGAGTGGATTCTGCCAACTCAATAATTGGATGCAGTCAGGTTGATTAAAAGTTTTCTTCAACTTTTAATCAACCTGAATGCATGATTTTATTGAAGTCACTCTGTAAAGCTCCTTAAGATGACGTGTTGTGAACTGGCGCTATATAATTATCCATCTATCCAGTCTCCATCACACTTATCCTTGCTGGGGTCGCGAGGGGTGCTGATGCCTATTTCCAGCTGTCAATGGGCGAGAGAGATACAGTAGAGGCAGGGTACATACTGGACAGGTTGCCAGTCCATTGCAGAGCAACACAGAGACAAACAACCATTCACACACCCACACTTGCACCTAAGGAGAATTTAAAGAAGCCAAACAGTCATGTTCCCACAGACTGTGGGAGGATGATCGAGTACCCGGGGGGAGAACCCGCGCCAGCACAGGGAGAACATGCAAACTCCATGCAGAAAAACCCAGGGCTGGAAACTGAACCCGGAACCTTCAATGCAGCCGTGCTACCCACTGCCCCACTGTACAGTCAGTAAACTTCAATAAGTTAAAAATTAAGTAAGAGCAATTCTGTTCAGCCTTGCTTGAATCTATGAGGAAACCTGTCCGCTGTAAACGCCAGTGCTTTGCTCTTTAATGAAAGAAAAATGGTCAAACTTTTAATTTGTGTTTCTCTATTTGAATATTCTGGACAGTATCAAATTCCATTAACAGGTTAAGAGTTCATTGTTAGACAAGTTTTCACTGAAAAACAACCTTTACCACACAAAATGAAATGCTCAGTTTGTCTATAATTCACATGAAAAAATGATGACTAAACAAAACTGCTGAAAATATCTGTGAGAGGTTCCATCATGATCATAAACGGTATAGTTTCATTGATGCCATACTATATTACAATGCATAAACAGGAGTCCATGTAAACAACTTGAGTGTTGCCAAAGATCTGAAGAGAAGGACTGATTCAATCAGGGGACAAACTAGATTAGGGTGACTGGGATTTGTAAGGGAGGAAAGGAAGCAGAGGGGGAGGAGGAAAGTTTAAGAAACTTAAAAATTACACTTAATTAAGAAAGGAGATGGTCTTTGTTTAGCTGAGAGCCCCAGTAGGAGAGCAGGGGATTACTGGATTACATGGAGCGTCGCTGGTCATGTGAGGCAGCATGGTCTACACTGACCCCGCTTACCAACTCTGAGTAAGGCAGCTAAGCCTGGCTGTGAACGTGAACACACACATGCTGCTGCCCAAGCATCCTTCAATCTCCTGGAAAGACCTCAAATGACTTCTCTATCTGTGCTTGGCTTCCTCTCATACCTCTTTTATATCTTTCCTTCTTAGTTTTTCACGCTCTCTTCCTCTCCTGACACCTTTTAATTCTCTTGACTATTTCTGTCCCCTTATCTCCTTTTCTTCCTCCTCGTCTTTTCCTGTCTGCCTCCTCCGGGTGTCAAGGAGACTTTTTCTGTTGCATGATTTGTTCGAACAGCTCATCCATGCCCTCACAAGTCCAGCAGTGTTCTTTGCTTTTTCTAGCCAGGAGAGTAAACAATGAAACAGAAGACAGTAGAATAAGCAATTTCAGAGCCAGGAGCAGAAACTTGGTTGTCCTGACTGGAGGACACAGGAATGCTGGCCTGGGTAAGTTGAACTTTTCCTTGACTTGTCAGCATTGCATCCAACTTTTTATCATTATTTTATCTTAATGTTTGAGCGTCAATCTACAAGCAAAGCAACAGAAACTAATTAAAGTCTTGTTTACTGATTTCTTTAGAATAAATATCATAGCTTGCACATTTAAACCTATGTGATCTAGATACTGCTGGCTGTCCTTGATTGAATTGCAAAATTAATATTCATTTTTAATGATTAGCATTATACATATTATCACGTTTTTATTTTGGCCTAATTTTTTACAGCATAAGCTTAATCAAGCTGAGTAAATGTTTTCACATTCCATATACGGAGGGACCTTTTAACCCATGCACATCCACTATATTAGATTAAATCCAGGTTAGCATTAGCTCTAATACTACATTTACCAAACTGCTGAATGCAGACTTTAGAACGCAAATCTTTGGATCAAAGATGGAGGTTTATTAGCAGGACTGTGGGTGAAGGATCACGGCTTTGTGCATTGTCCAAGACAATGCACAAAGCCAAGCAATCGTTACAGGCCGAGATAACAAAAGGTTCACCAGGTAACGAGGGAACGGTGAAAGCAATCAAAGAATCACAGGCAGGAAAACAGCAGACTGGAATGAGGAGCAGAGTTAAAGAAATGCCTCATCTAAAAAATAATAACAAAGGAAATATATGGTTATAAGACAAAATAAGTATCAGAGCAAACCACAAGTTTTAGTTTTTAGTGAAAAAAATGATATAGATAGATAGATAGATAGATAGATAGATAGATAGATAGATAGATAGATAGATAGATAGATAGATAGATAGATAGATAGATGATAGTAAACATTAAGAATTATAATGTTGTTATAATTATAATATTGTCTAAAAACGTACCTCAGTAAAACAACAAAAAATATTAAGTTACACACAATTCAGGATATAAAAATACCACAAGCAATTATCATAAATATTTTTTATTCACATTAAAATTATCTCGATTCAAATTCATCTGTTCAGGGTTCATCTTTGGGATGGTAGATTGTGGTATTGTTCACCTTAATTGGAAGAAGAAACAAAACTGTCAGGATGAGAACTGCAGCTCATAATAATGATAAACTAATGGATTATTGGATGTTAACCCAAATACCTGACTCTCAGTTTGCAACGTTTATTACCGTGGTTGTCAATGCATCAGTGAATATGACCGGTATATATCAAAGCAGCCCCTTTGTTATTTGGGGATGTTTTCGATTAAAAGCAGTATTGTTTCGGTAGTGGTCTGTGTAATACAGTGACAGATATATATGACCAGAAAGATTTGGAAATGATTGTGTGGACTATAAAACAATTTTCATTGACTCTTTCATCACATGACAAGACACAGAATACTGTAAAACTACTTAAGATCCATCTTACTCATCACAACATAGTGAGTTAACTATTGTATTGATGCTAAAACCTCACATTTTTCAAATTAATACTGTTAGATGTATTTCAGTTTCACCTTTTATTATTCTAAACTGAGTGCATCTTTTTTTCAAAATGTTTATACTTTCATACATCTTGCTTTTTTGTCTTATATTTACTTTTTTGCACAAATCCATGTAACTGCTGTAACAAAATTATTCGCCCCTTACATAAAAGAACAATCTTTGTTATTATGCCAAATCCAAAACCGTAACAAAGTCTTAGTAAATGTTTTATGTGATGTTTGCAACTCTTACGGTTTCCCACTTCCACGTGACATTTTAGCCACATGCAGGGTGGGCAGTTCAGGCATTTTTACAGTAACACTTTAAAAACAATGACTCTGCTCCATCTGATGAGCATCATCATTTCTACAAGGAGACTTGAAAATGTAGTCAGTTGTTTTGCTTTAACTATAGTTTTATTGAAGGATCAGGTTAAATGAAGGCATGTTGACCTTGATGTTTCGAAGTTAGGGTTAGCAAGTGACATAAAGAGTAAGACGGGTCATGCCCTCCACAGGTCATTTGTGTCTAAACTCTAGCTGGCCATCTGGAGTATTAAGGATTTTTTCCACTCCTTTGCAAGAGAGCTGGATAAATGAGCACAGGTGTGCAAGACATAAGTGCCTTTTAATAATCATATACTGTGTTCATCAATAAACTGATTGCGTTTGCCTAAAAACCAAGACCCAGGTGTGAGGAAGGCGCAACAAATTAATGTGGCTGGCTATGGTCTGGATGTGCTCACGTATTTCTATCTTTCCACCAATATAAGTGCAAATCATTTCTTTCTATATAAGTTAATATCAGCTTCACTTTAGACTTAGACCACTTTATTAATCCTACCGGGGGCAATTCGTTTGAGCAGAAAACAAGACAAACAAACAAAAAAAAACATGCAATTACATAAAATATAAGATGATTAAAAATAGAAAAAAATGTGGCAGGGAGCTTAAGAACCAAAAAAAAAAATAATAATAATTAAAAATGGAGAATAATCAAAAAAAGATGATATAGTCATCTCTGAAAAAAAAAAAAAAAAAAAAAACACGGTTACGGTTTATTTTACACTGGGGCATTATATAGTGGCGTCCTGAAGGCAACAAAGAAAATGTATTTTTGAGAACATGTTCTGATGAACAGATAATCACTTTACCTTTTTTGGCATAGGGGAAAGTAAAAATCACAGATATGCATTTGACAGCACATTATTTTTGAGTATGTAAATGCTAAGTTAAAATGCCACAATTTAATTGTAATTGTAGACATGTTTTAAAATAAAAAAAATATTACATAATCTAATAGTTTTACTGCTGAGAATCACTAGTTATAATTAAATATGTTAACTGATTATATGTTAATTTGACAAAACATATTGATTTGTTACAGTTATTCTATATAATAATGTAAGACATTATTATACACAGTTATGCATATATATATATATATATATATATATATATATATATATATATATATATATATATATATATATGATTCTGATTCTGAAGCTGCTCATTACAAAGCATCAGAAATAAAACAAGCTCATATGAGCTGGTTAACTAAGCTGGGATCTATCTGCTCTGGTAAAACAGTCTGCAGCTGGGTGCTTAACAGAAATACAGCTTGCATTTCATCGCTCTTGCTTGCATATATGGCTTGCAAACGAGATGAGTGGTGCTTGTTATTGTTTCCACACCTGGACTGTCTTTGTGTTTATGGGACCATAAATATTCCAAAACAGCCACATTTGTCTTTTGTGTAACCACATTGCAGAGCAATGGGTGGGAGGAATGAGATTCTGGCTTTATGCAATTTTTCATACAGTTGTAGAATTTTCATGTTGACTCAGACCCTAGAATTATATCAAATGGACCCGGATCTGTAAAAAAAGCATGTTTGGAAAAATGGCTGTTTTGGAGCCTAAGGTTTTTAGTGGTAAAAATGAAACAGACACAGAATTGATGCCATGTTAAATTTAGAAGATTCTGTTAGCAGAGAAATTGTGGAATCATAAATTTATCATTGGAATTTAGTCACTTTGGTTTCTTTGCTGAAAAGGCAGTGAGAGAAACAGTAATGCGATGACAACAGGTTGCAGTACGGCACATCCGCTAGGATATGGGAGTTGGTTACGTTTTCTTTATTTTAAGCTGTGTTCAACATAGGTATAGATTTGAAAACTTTGTTAGGTTGTAGATTAATTTGTATATTTGGTATTTTATTGTTTTAATCTTTTCAAATAACCTATTTATTTGTTGAAAGCCCTTGCTAATGGTTATGTATGGCTTATATTGGGGATAAAATTGTTTTGCTTTTCAGCAGGGTCCAGCACTTTGACACATATTTTTATTCTATTGAATCAATAATTTATATTAAACTCACCTGAAAGGGCCGTTCTCAACTTAATCTATCCTCTCATCAAATACTAACTTGATAAAAAAGTATTTAAAACTGGGTCCTAATTTGTAAAATATTAAAAATTACAAAACATTTTTGTACTTAATCAAAAATGTTTTGCTGCAGTCCACGTGACTGTGCGCTGTTTACCTCTTTGCTCCTAAGAAACTAGAAACTTACAGAAACTATAACAGGCACAGAAATGATTTTTATTTGGGAGGATTTTTATCTTGGCAAGAACACTTCAATGTAAGACATGACCTAAAATTTTTATCTACCTGCAAAATATTCACTCTAACCCTACTTTGGGTCACAGAAATCAGTGGCGGCAGCCTCGTGATGCAGAGATGTCTTTGAGCACAGGGTAGCTGGTCAAAGCTTAGGGGAATATGGATGAAGCTAAATATAAAGCAATGCTGAAGGAAATGTGTTAGAGGATGTAAAAGCCTTGAGTCCTGAGTGGAGGTTCTGCTTCACAACAATCCTAAACATACAGCCAGAACTGAAAGTCCAGAACTGGAGTCCAGATTATCAGTTATCCAAATCTCAAAATTGGTTGGACACTATATATACCTACATATATGCATATACCTACATATACCTAAAAGGGAATTAATTAAAATACATTTTCCCCCACCACAGGTGTCAAACTCCTTTTCATACTGGCCACTTCAACAACATCAAGTCTATAAATTGCCTGTTGTAGAGCTAAATGACACTTTTGATTCCATTTAATTATCAATGAACTCCCATTTATTCTGCAATATTATCCACCTTGTAGACTTAAAAAAATATGCCTCTAACTTAATTTTTTGGCTCTCGAGGACTGAATAAACTGTTGTGAGGGTCCAGATTCAGCCTGCATGCATAATACATGAGCCCCTTAGAGAATCTGAATGAGCTATTTCACATACAAAAAAAACCCCATAATTCTCTCAGCTATAATTTCAGCGGAATGTTTTACAAATAATTGATTCAGGCATGCTGAAAATAAAGACAAATCCCACTTTCCAGATTCACAACTATCGACGTTTCTCTTTTTAATGATACAAAATGCAAAAGAAAGTAAAGAAAGGTTTTGCAAACCACTATGTCGCTAAAGCCCTTCGGTATATAAATCATGTCTAAATTCTCATTAACCTC